GCGGGCCGCAGGGAGCCCCGCTGCGTCCCGAGGAGATCGGAATACCCCTCCGCCGCTCTTTCTCCTTCTCCTGTAAATATCTGGATTTTGCTAAATTAAACGTGGAACTCGCCCGAAACGGTTCTGTCGAGCTGGACGATCTTTCAAAGACGATGGGAAAAACAGAGGCGACACGTTCAGGTGGATTTGCATTCCTCTTTTGCAGAGACTTGGGCGGTGTTGAAGTGCATGGCTTCGCTCACCGCTGAAAGCAAAAAAACCCAGATCAAAAGCAGATTTACTTTCACATTGGTAACGAACAATTCTTCGTAGTGTAACATGTATACATTGTGCCATAGCTGTACGTTACCCTTGGCAGAGACATGGCATTTTCATGGCAAGTCTGTTAAAAATGGCATTACCCTCTGAGAAACACAAGCCCTTTCAGTGAATTGATGTAGTGGAACAGAGACAGGTATTTTTACTGTATTAAATGCTTCATTTAAAAAAAAAAAAAAAGTAAGTTGTGTTACAAAAAATAATTCTTTGATAGTCTATGTGCAAGTCTGTACTTGGAGGGCCAGATCACTCTATTCATTTTCAGTAGAAAACAAGACGGTAAGTTGGGAGTAAAACTTCACAAGTCAATATGAGCTGGATACTGAACAGGTTTTCCTGGTTTGTAATATTGTACATGTCTTTTGCAGGGTAAACTTTTTGACTCCACAATAACTGATGAAGGAACATGGACGTTAGGTAATAACCTACATCTGAAATGACATTATGAGGGCAGTAGAACTTCTCAAAGTATGCTGCAGAAGAGTTTACCTCCTTCTTTTAATGGGAAGGATTACTTGCTTCCCTGTACGTAGCTTTGTAAAAAAGACAATCATTATTGCTAGATTAAGGAACTGAGGTAGTACAAAAGCCCTAGAGATTAAAATTCACGGAAAAAATGCTGTGTCTTGGAAGGTAGTCGTCAATGGATTACAAACACTTCTGTATAGCGAGAAGTTTTTGCACACCCTTGTTAAAGCTAGACAGTTATGGTACAGTTACGTGGTCTGTGCCATACTGTTGCTTTTCTTGTTTTTTCTCCTCTCATGCATTATTTTGGGGGGATGGGTGACGTCATAACATTATGTTTTTGGGATGTGTGACAAGACCTACAGTCCAAGAGAATCAAAAGTCAATCTAAAAATCACACTGAGATACCTACAGATAATGAGCAAAAAAAGCTTCTCTGATCATTACATCATAAATATTGTGAAGTGTTGAGAATATTTTGGGGTTTGACAATCATATTTGTGTACAGTGCCTCTCACTTAATGTTTTCCTATGATGGATTTTGGTTTCCATTCAATATTTATTCTAAATATTGAGTAATAATTTAATAACTTAAACATGAAAACTAGAAGTGTAAACAAACATTGTGAAGTGAAGCCTACTCTTTTCCAGTATGCGAATAATCTTCAAAATGCACTTTATGATGCTGTATTTATTCAATTAAATAGAACTAAAAATCCTACATATTAACTTTGAAATGTACTTCCAATATATTGTCTATAGGCATACTGTCTGTGTTTAAATAAATTGATTATACCTCCATATGTTGCTAAAACTTAATGCTGGCTTTTGTTGGTAATAACTCTCTGTAAAGCCTTGCCTCAAATCCTTCATTATTGCCTTAGCTGAGATGTATATATTAATGGATTAAACCTTTTCTCTGTTGTGAACCTCTCTAAAAGGTTAGTTTTTGTTTGTAGTAGAAGTACTTATGAACTGTGTTTTAATCCCTGAAAACAGCTTCAGCATTTTACAGGCCAGAAAGGGGAGAGGTGGCTGTATAGGCTATCTTTGCTTCAGCCCTTCTGCTTTTTGTTAATGTTTGTTTATTTATCAATAACCCTGTTGGCACTGGCATTAAGACTTTATATTACTTTGCCAAAAAAATGCTTGTTAAGGGTGAATTCACCAAAACAACAAAAAAAGACTAGCAGATAGGACTGAGTTTAATGGTTGTTTTATGTGTCTGGTTTCATTCAACAGAAGACAGGAAGCTGATACGAATTGTTCTAATGAAGACAAATCGAGATGCTGGAAATTGTTGGACGTCTCTGTTAGAAGATGAATATGCTGCTGATCCTTGGGTGCAGGACCAGATGCAGAGGAAACTTACACTGGAGCGATTCCAAAGAGAGGCAAGTTAAAGGATCATAATTATTCCTTGTATTTTGTGTTTGCACACAGAGGCTACGGCCATGAAAGCTGAGCAAAATTGTTCTGCTGTCCAGTGCCATGGAAACATATGCTGTAGTTCAATATATATAGAATGCTTATGAGGCTTTATCAGTGTACTTTCAAGAGGTTATTCTGTCTGTAGTCTGTCTGAAGGTTTTGTAAAAATTTAAGATGAGTTGGGGGGGGGTACTGCTGGTTTAGGGTTTGTTGCATATTACTAACAACTTTTCACTTAAATTAGGCTACACACAATTTCTGTTATTATCTGGAATTATGGCATACCCATATTTACAACAAAATTCTAACATCAAGTTCTATTGAATATGTTTTGTTTATAATATCAGATGATGTAGAGTAGTTGGCTGGAAAATATTTTCCTTGCCCTTTTAATAAAGTTGCTTAAATTGTTTTGGTACACCTTTAGCACACAACTATTTCTATGCATGTCTGCAGAGTTGTAGAATTACAACTTAACAGCTGAATCAGCACACTCCATACTGCAACAAAGAACATCATTTTTATGAAACTTGTTATCCAGCATGGCAGGTACTTATATTTTCAAATAGTGATTTCAAGGGACACCAGAAGCCAGAAATTGTTCTTAAAACTTTCCTTACTATTTCTTTAGTGGGAGATCTAACTGCTTGCCAAATTGAGAACAGCATTACAAAATCACTTCAGCAGTAGGCAACCAAACTATGACAATTCAAGGGTTATTTGTTGATGCATTTTCCAAGAATTCCAGTGCCATGACAAATGGATGACAAGTTGAACATTACACGTCCTTGTTACATTGGCAGAATATTAACAGAAACAGTTTTGGACTTTTCGTTTGTTGTTTGTTTGTTTTTAAACATTTTTATTACGAATAATCTTTCTATTAAACTTTTCTCTTACTTCTACCAGAACCCTGGATTTGACTTCAGCGGGGCAGAAATTTCTGGAAACTACAGCAAAGGAGGACCAGACTTTTCTAGTCTTGAAAAGTAAACTGTTTTTATATGTGTTCCTTGAGAGGAATTGCACATTACACTCAAAGTCTAGAATCATGTAACTGGTGAAGACTTCAGTGATCTCTTCAATGGATTGTCATCAAATAATTACTTCAGTGAAGAGAAAGAAGATCTCTTCCAGTATAATGAAGACAAAGTGTTAACAGCTGATTTATAAGCTGCGATAACTTTCTAATACTAAGGGACAAACTATAGAGAAAGGTGTACACAAAAAACTAACATCTTTAAGCAGAATGTTGGGTTTGTTTCGGTTTTTTTAGAAACACCATAGTAAACTGGTCAGTTACAAATATACCACTTGTCTTTATGCAAAAGCGTCTTATTCACTGTTGAAGAACAGATGTTATATGCAAGATACTTAATATTTTCTCTTAACTTGTAACAGGAAGGATATTAGGATGGCTACAGTTACAATTTCCCTCTGTAGCAGCCCTCTGAGAGCTCATAAATATCCTTCTAAAACAGTGATTTAAAAAAAGAAACTACTGCATCTTGCCTCAAATAAGGTTTTGCAATCCACTGTGCTGTCAAATATAGCACTAATGATTAATGCTTGCTACCAGGTAAACCATACTAGAAAACTGAAAGGTCAGGTGAAAGTCTGGATATAAATAATTTTATGTGTTAACGTAATACAGCCTTTCAGTATACATATTTAAGATTTTGAAAGTAAGAGAATATAATGACTTTTGGGAGAAATAGGAAGTCCATAAGTAGGAAATGGTATGTTGCATCTATTCATTACCAACATATAGCACAAGTTGTTGATAGTGCATCTACGAAGCTGTGGATTTTTATAGATAAGAGTTTTCAATTTAGTAGCCACATTTTAAACTTAGCTATTGCATGATATAATATTTTGCATGTGCTAATTATGTATCAGGAATTTTCTATTCCTTGTTAAGGATGCAGCTGAGAAGCACTCTAACCACAGCATTATACAGGATGAAGCCTGTGTCAAACAGACTAACAGAGTAAGAAAACATGATTGCCAAATCCTATTGTATTCTGAACACTGAAACTACTGCCTAGACTTAAGTCCTAAGCAGAAGTCTCACTGGAGATAAATTGCCAGTAGCTGTCCATCAAACTGCTGAACCTTATTTCTAAAATTTTATCATTATTTCAGTTAACGTATGGCAAGAATAAAGCAATAGTTGAGGAAGAATGCTTTCACTGTAATTACAGCCACTGCTTTCTTGTTGTGCAAGCAAGCAGTAATACTCCTGAAATAATCAATCAATCAAGTGTGCTCTTCCTACCCACGTCATCTTTACAGAATGTAAAGTAAGTCCATACACTGTGCTTGGGTTTTAGAGAACTTGCCTTATTATACAAAGGAAAAAGTAGTGTGGTATCACATGCTGATTTATAGCTATGAAGTTTTGTGTCTTTACCATGATCCTAGAAGGTGGATGGTGTAGTTAAGAAATGAACGAGACTGCTGCAAAAGTAACTGAAGACAGAGGGAAGACAGAAAACAGTTAATGTTGCATCAAAATGCTGAAGTACTGTCCAGTGAAAGTATTTTTTGTTACAGCAGTTGGTTTGCACAGAACAGTTTTGTATGTCTTTTGCTTATAGCAGAAGTTTAGAATGGCATCTGACACTTTGGTGCATGAATTTACATTTACTATATGCACTTTCAAAGCTAAACTTTATTCCCGTACTTCCTGCTTTATGAAGTAGCATGAGAGTCATCCTACAGCTAAGTCCAATGATGTGAAAGAAAGAGGACAACTGTGATGTATTTGGCATCACAGCCCTGAATTATTTTAAGAGGAAAGGTTTGAACTACTTGGTTAGCTACTTCTATCATCGACTCTAAGTTACAGACCTCCAATTTTTGAAGAATCTAGATGAAAATAAAAAGATATTGATGCTATGACTTTCCTTAATTAGTATCTATTCAGTTCTTAGTCTGTATTTCAACAAATGGTGGTCTGTGTTCCATCTCACAACAGTCTCACTGGGATTCAATCCCTTGCTTCTTAGACAGCAACAACTATTTGACAGATGCATAAATTGGGGTATGTGATATAGTATCAAGAGCAACCCACTCTATAGGAAATAATCCTCTGCACTTATTTGGAGTGCTAACTCTGCTGTGTAAATGAGTGGAGGACAGTCTGCTGGCATTTCTTCATGTATCTGGTTCAAGATCAGCTCAGAGTGATGCCACAGCATTGAAATGTATAGTTAAATTTATACCTAGTCAAACTGGGATGCTCAGTTTACTGCAAAATCTCAAATCTTGGGATTAGAAATCCGAGTGGCAGATTTTCTTAAACAAGCATAATCCATGTATTTACTGCAATGTATAGAAACAGGTGATATGACTGCTAGATAAATAATGGAAGAGGGTTGAAGTCAAATTTGAACGGTCTAAGCTACTTAAGTCAGTCTTTTCAATCTTGACACTTTTTCATCTCAAAGGATTTAGAGTAATAGTGGGTAAAGTTGAAATAATTTTAATCAAGCACCTTGTGTTGGTTTCCTGTTGGTTCTCTAGTCTTTCCCATGCAGCCTCAACCTCTTAAGAAAAAAAGAAAAAAAAATTGAAAAAAATCTCCATAATCTCTCACCTCCTGCCTGGAAATTTTCCAGGTACTGTTCTAAGTCACTTGATAGGCTTCCTACTAAGATGTTTTATAACAAACGGGAAAAAAGTTACTCAGTTAAGCACATTTCAATGTTTAATTGAAAGGTACATATCTTAAATATTGAGACATGACAACTAGAATTGCACATTAAATCTTCTCCATCTCTCCCAGCTGACCACACCTTTGTCCAAATCATTTGTAAGCTTTTCACAGGCCAGCACAATGCAGATAGCACTGGCAGATGCAAAACCCAATTACATGTTTTGCGGTGCAGTCACTCCCATGAGTTCATGAAAAGGCTTGATTTGTCCCGTATAGAGCTTTGGTACAAAGTCTTCTGTGAAAGGTTTAACTAGTTTGAGATATGCAAAGAGTGGTTTCCCCCTCAGCTATTACTCTAAAGAGTCAGTTCATATGGCAATCAGTTATTAACAGCCTATTGCTAACAGCCTCTGCTCCACAGTGACGCAGAATTGAAGAGGTCATTAGCAACATTCCCCCCAACACCTCTATTCAGCTTACATACAATAACACGTTCTTATTATTCACTTCCTTGTTAGCACCAGAAGCATGATATGCCTCAAGCACTGATCTGGTCTTCAGAAAAAAACAGTTGTATTTTACAAAGCTTACTATTAAAGAGATGAGAGTTGAAGCACTCTTCAGTGTTTCTCAACTAGACTGCTCCTACATACAGGCCAAGATGGGACATTAGCCCTGCTCCTACTGTGCCTGTAAAAATGCACCTGTTCATAATCAACATTTACCTCTTGTACAGCGAAACTTTGGAAAACTGATGTCAGATTTGGGGCAGGTGACCCAGTACTTTCCCAAGGCCCTTATTAGGTATCATGAGGTTTTTACACTCCATGAAATAATTCGTAAATCTCAGTAAACTACACCTACAAAATACTGAAGTTACTGCCTACCTTTTATAAGGCAATGAAATAAGGTTTCTCTTTCCTCCTGCTCTAGCAACTTGACATGTTCAGTGGGTATCACATCACCTACTTTTTAATGTTTCTGTGGTAGAAGGCCAGTGCCCTGCCCAGCAGGAACATGCAGACATGTGACACTGCCCAAACAGCCCGTCAGGTGGACTGACAGACATTTGCTATTGTCATCAGCAATGAGCAGGATTAGTCTTTAGTTTGATTGAGACACTGGAGCACTGTGCTACTGCACATGATGTTTTCCTAGTGCCACGTAATCTTTGGAAAGTGAACCATTTTTTAAAAATTAAATATATAATTCACCTGCAATTACAGTAAACCAAGGTTAGACTATACAAGCTGCTCTACAAACTATAAGGTGTTAAAATTCCTTGCATCAGTATTGTGGTATTTCACTGAACAGTAAACAGTCTAACAAATAAGACTGAAAACTGACACTGAATATTGTTGTAATCATCATGAAAAGAACATATTTGCTGGAATGATCTTTAGTCTGAAATGTTACATATTCTTTCCATGAGTTGAGTTCTTCATTATTAAGATCATGTTTCAGACTTTGTTTCTCAGATATTCATGTGTCTGTTAACAAGGTCACAGGATGGTTCTCTCCTCGTTTTATTATACTCCTGTAAAACAAAAATAAAAATAACAGTCAACTGAAGGGCTTTTTACAAGAGCCAAACAAAGCATCAGACTTTAATATAGCAAGACAACAGCAAGACAGCTGTTACAGAAAATATGTAGCTGTTGGACTTAAAGTCTAGATACGGAAGTATTTCACAATTTCTACAGAGTGAAACAACAGTAATATGAATAACTGAATTACAGTTTTTAGACTATACTAAACAGACAGTTATACAGTTCTACTTGTATAAAGCTGTCTTCCTTTTAAGTGAACAATTACAAGAAACTCATTCTAATAGGCAACTGTTTTCTCTTAGCCAATTCTTTTTAGGATAGGAACAAGCCAAGTTTTTTCTCTAACTTTTTGCCAGTTTTACTCCACATTTTAGTTTGAATGAGGTCCCAATGTCTGTAGAACACATATCTGCTCCCACAGCACACCAGAGGATCAGCTTTCTCCAACATTCATATATTAGGTTGCCAATTCTTTAGATACAGCACTGGCTCAAGCATGAACACGAGAAATGACAGGCCTACTATGTTTATGTTACATGTCTTCAAGAGGTTACCTATACAGAATAAGAAACTTTGAGGTAGTTAACAGCTAATTACTTCTACATTATCAGAAGTTGATTTTTCAAGGAGTTACCGGTTATGAGCTGGTCTCTGGAATTGTAGGAAGATGTGTTATTCTGTAGTAGCTATGTTTAAGCTGCCGTGCTGTACGTCCAGACACAATCCATTTTAATTTCTGGACATTTGGTTTGGAACACTTGCTCGAGGAATATTCTGTAAGGCACTTTAACACCAGTTCCTTCCAGAAGGTCAAATCTCTGTTGTTTATCTAAATAGCAAGACAGAATCTCATATGTTAAAAACTCATTAAATCCTTATTTCATTGGGTTTGCATGGCAAGGGTTTGGTAGCTGGAGGGGCTACAGGGGTAGCTTCTGTGAGAAGCTGCTAGAAGCTTCCCCTACATCCGACAGCCGGCTCTAAGACGGACCTGCCGCTGGCCAAGGCCAAGCCCATCAGCAGCGGTGGTAGCGCCTCTGGGATAATAGATTTAAGAAGGGGCAAAAAAGACCCTGTGCAATGGCACCTGCAGCCAGAGAGAGGAGTGAGAACACATAAGAGAAACAACCCTGCAGACCGCCCCCCGGTCAGTGAAGAAGGAGGGGGAGGAGGTGCGCCAGGCGCCAGAGCAGAGATTCCCCTGCAGCCCATGGAGGAAGACCATGGTGAGGCAGGCTGTGCCCCTGCAGCCCATGGAGGTCCACAGTGGAGCAGATATCCACCTGCAGCCCAGGGAGGACCCCACGCTGGAGCAGGTGGATGCCCGAAGGAGGCTGTGACCCCGTGGGAAGCCCACGCTGGAGCAGGCTCCTGGCAGGACTTGTGACCCCGTGGGAGACCCACGCTGGAGCAGTCTGTTCCTGAAGGACTGCAGCCTGTGGAAGGGACCCACGCTGGAGCAGTTCATGGAGAACTGTCTCCTGTGGGAGGGACCCAGGCTGGAGAAGTTCATGGAGGACTGTCTCCCTTGGGAGGGACCCCATGCTGGAGCAGAGGAAGAGTGTGAGGAGTCCCCTCCCTGAAGAGGAAGGAGCAGCAGAGATAACATGTGATAGATTGACTGTAACCCCCATTCCCTGTCGCACTGTGCTGCTGGAGGGTTGGAGTTAGAAAAAATTGGGAATGAAGTTGAGCCCAGGAAGAAGGGAGGGGTGGGGGAAAGGTGTTTTAAGATTTAGTTTTTATTTCTCATTACCCTACTCTGGTTTGATTGGTAATAAATTACATTAATTTTCCCCAAGTCAAGTCTGTTTTGCCCGTGACAGTAATTGGTGAGTGATCTCTCCCTGTCCTTATCTCAACCCACAAGCCTTTCTTTATATTTTCTCTCCCCTGTCCAGCTGAGGAGGGGAGTGATAGAGCAGCTTTGATGGGCACCTGGTGTCCAGCCAGGGTCAACCCACCACATTCATAGATGTACTTTTAGCTTCTTCACATAAGATAGGAAGCCAAAGATGGCAAGCCAAATGGAAAAAAAACCCCACAACTCAACAAAGCCACAAAAGAAACCAGTATGCCAATGGACCTTCTCCTTCCCCACTGTATAGGCCCTTGCATGCATTTTTTCTTCCTTCCTCCCCTGAAACTTTATCTATACATACCTTGGAATGCAACTGCAGAAATTCCAATGCCTCTGTCAACTCCAGTAGTTTTTGTTCTTCTATCTCTAGTGCCATGATAGACAGTGCCAAGACAGAAGGCTGGAGAGAGAGAAAAAGTTTTTAAACACTGCTTTGTTAAGTTTCAGTAGTCTCATTGTCTTTGAGCTTTCAAGACGTTTACCTTGGCTTTTGAAAACATGATTCTGCAGTGACATGCTTTGAGCTGGGTCTCAAGTCTCTCAAAACTGAGGTATTTTCTCCTATAATAAAAACAGATGAATGAATGTAGAAGAACGCAAGCTTGATCAAGGCAGCACCACCCTGGGAACTCAGAGAAGCAGTGAGAATGTCCATTATCTATACAAAGGCCTCATTTGTCCCAGAGGTTCTAGGGTTACAGTCAAACAGGTGTTCAGTTTTGGCAGTCCTAATGCCAAAAATAAATCTTGTGTTACACTGGGGAGAGTTGCATTGTCAAAATAGGCTTACCAACAAGGAATTTTAATGCTTACTAGTGAAAGGAATCTCTTTCTAAGCCAGATTTTGAAATCTTTGCAATGAGGCAATACTTAGTGCAGTGTAAGCAGAGATTTATTATACCATCATTATTAAGCACTTTTTGTTTTTAGCTCAGAGAGCAATACTCTTCAGATCACTTTAGGCAAACATTTAAAATTAAAATAGGAAACAATAGATATCCATATTTATGACATTTACCAGTAAGGGAGAAAGTTTGTGGGTTTTTTAAGTATAGAAAGTCAAGCAATTTCCCTGCTTACTTTTCTACATAGGCTTCCTGATCATATGCAGTCATAGCAAAATAAATATTAGATATTTTACCTTTCACAGCTTAAATTCTCATGAATGAGCGAATGATATAGTTGTAGAAATTGGAAGGCTGTTGTAGCTTTGACTTTCCAAGACAGCTTCTCCAATATGATTTTTTCCATTCTCATCATATCGGAAACAGTGAACCTATACTGGCTTATTCGAATTAAGTCAGTGGCTAAGGGAACATTTCTCTCTTCTTCTGATGCCTTCACAGCCAAGTAGAAGCAGCTGAGTCCAACACAGCCCAAGTGTTTAGGCTGTACCTAAACAAAAGTAAATTGTTGTTACTTTCAAAGAGAAAGGCCTTTGATCAGCCATTTCAACATGTAAGTACCAAACTGTACAGGCACCAGTGTATTTTAGGAAAAAATTATGGGGTGTGGGGAGGGTTGTTCTGTATTTTGAAGATCAAGAAATCAGTCTTTTATCTACTTAAATTCTTATCTTTATTTAACTGAATGAGAAGACCATTATACACTACAAGTTCTGCCTCATTCATCTAAAAAGCGAGATTGCAGAACAATATATTTTGATTGAGGTAGAACTGGTTTCTTAATGAGGTTCTATAATAGCCCAATCAGAAGCTTTTAGGACTTAAAGTGTTGTACATATGGCTTATGCAAAAAAAAATTTGTTTTTTTTTTTCTTACTCTTTTATATATACACACACACACGCTTACATATGTACATACATATATAGAAACTGCCTTATTTTATTCCATAGGCATTACAGTCCCCATTTTTACTGCTTATTTTGGATTTGGAAGTCTTTCAAATCATCATTTTCCTATCCGCTCCATCTAGCTTTCTCATTTTTGTTTTAACACACACGGAAAACAAGCTTTTGTTCTTGACCAAATAGTATAGTGGCAATCCTGTCTCGTTAGACTATTAAAACCAACCCAGGTCAGCATGCCACATATGCACATTAGAATGGAGTGCTAGCAAAATTTTTTACCAGATTCTGAGTGCTGAACAGCGTCAAGCCTCTTGATATACATGAGGCTTATGGGTAGGTTGAAACAGCAGTAAAATAAGAAGTAATTTAAGATGTTCTTGTATACATGCAGCAAGCAAGACAATCTGTCTTGATCTAACCCATTAATACGGCCTGCATTTCCAAGCCTATGGGCATCCTCAAGTTGAAACCGATGCCCTCTTCCTTCTCTTCTCCAGAGGGAACAGCTTTCTTAACAATACTAAAATCTGAACAGGGAAATCCATTCTTTAGCTCTTGCACAATCAGAATCTCTGGAAGGAGCTTAACCTTTAGCCATCTAAACCCAAGATGTTCTAGCTTATAATAGGAACAAGGTTGCGACGAGCAGAAGCTAATACTGAGAGCTTATACTTTAAAAAAAGCCTTACCTTCATTTTTGACAAGAATCTATCTAAGAAATTCACAGCTAGTGAAAACGTCTCTGTATGGAAGCCAAAGAATTGAGTTAAGCTGAGGAGGTCTTTCACTTCAAAGTCTCGCAGCCTCGCAGTCATTCGGAGGCCATTATCGTGAGCAGATTCAATTAGTCTCAGGCCAGAGGCCTTTGGCTGACATCTTAACTCCTGTTCCAACAGGGCCGTGAGCTGGTACAGCAGTTCCTGAGCTTCGGTAGTTACAAGCGTTTCGATCATCTGTAACCAGAAACAAATCTAAGTGTATCAAACTGCTAGAAGGGAAAAATCAAAGTTACAGTTGCCTCTAAAGCAAAGATTGAAACCTTCCTTTCTCCATAGGTGTGCAAACTACTCATTCGTAAGTCAAAGTACTTCTGTCAGCGAGCAGCCCCCGTGTGACGCTCGGAACGGACGCATCAGCTCGGGCACACACCGGGTTATCGGCGCCCGGCCCGCAGCGCCGGTGTCCGGACAGACAGTCACACACCGCCTGCTCCGCGGGCGGCGAAGCTCCCCCGCGTTCGGAGCGAGCGGGGCCCCACCGGGCCCCTCAGCCGGGCGGCTGGGGCGGGTGCAGCCACCCTCCTACTCACCGCAGTAACGCTCCCCAGCTCCAGCTCCGGAGCTACGCCGCCCGCCTCGGTGGCTGGCCGGCACCGCGGCTGAGCCAGCACCGGCCCCGGGGGCGTCACAGCCGGGGCCGGCCGGACCCCGGGTAAATCCCAGGCGAAGGCGCCCGACAAGCCCCGCACCGACCGCCCGACCGCCCCCC